TAGATTGTGAGCAGGCAAGTGTGAAAACAGAAGCACCGGCTAGGAAGCTATTGAAATAGTTCAGGTGACAGATGATGGTGATTGGTGAGTAGTTCAGGTAAAAAGTTGCGTTGGAAGTAATGAAAAGTGGGGGGGGAAGGTCTGTATATATCTTGAAAGTAGAAACTATAAGATTTGCTGATTGATTGGAGACAGTATATAAAAGAGAGAACTCAAAAATGTTTACAAGTCTTTTTGGCTTTGTAATTTACTGGTACAGAGAAGATTTGTGGGCATAAATGGATAGAGGGAAGATGCGGAAAACCAGAAGATAGATTTGGGGCAAGTTTATTTATAGAAGTATAGGAGACATCGAAATGTGGATGTGGGTTTGGCAGTTGGTTATATGAGTTAGGGGAAGAGATGTGGATCAGAGATACGAATTTTGGAGTTCTCAGTTTATGGATGATAATCTATGAGACTAAATGAGATTCCCAAAAGTGTGAATGTATATAGAAAAGAAAGCAGTCTGTAGCAGCTTTAGGATACCTTTAACATGTCAAGTCTGGGGAGACATGGGAAAATCAGCAAAGGAGATTGAGAGAAGCAGTCGATAAAGTGGGAGGCAAATCAGGAAATGTATTGTTCTGGAAGCCAGTGAAGGAAGTGTTTAAAGGAGGAAGAAATGATTACCTACGTCCAATGCTGCCAATAAGGTCAAGCATGATGAAGACTGAAAATTGACCATTGGTTAGCAATATGATCAATACTTCTTCTCACTGGAGAGAAGAAGCAAATGATCAAACTGGACAACTAGACATGCGGCCTTATTTAATATCCTCCTGATGTAACCCTGGCTCCCATAGGTTCCATGAACTGAACTGATTTTGGAATTCTTTATTTTATTTTACTATACTCCAGTAATCAATTCCTTATGGCTGTGTCTTGTCTCATTTCATATTGGTATTTTCAAGTCAATCTTTTAGAAAAATTGTATGAGGAGATAAGTCAATATTATTATCATTGTCTTGTAGAAAATACAGTTTTTAGAGAATATAAATGTTTCATTGTCACACTTCTGGTTAGTGCCAAAGTTGTGACTTCAGCTCAGGCCTATTGAAATCTAGAACCTTACCCTGCTCCATTAATTTCCACAAAGAGAGAGCCTGAAAACTTCCTTCTTATTTATTGGACTGTCCTTTATTCATTGCCCACTTCTATTCATGCCTTCTTTTAATTCTTACATAATCCCTTGACTTTTGATCCTTAGATTTTTTTGAACAGCTGCATGCCGTGACCTTTAAGGACAAATATCGATATGACTTTAGAGCTTCAGGGAATTTGGACTTCTGCCAGGCTCTGAGTCCAGAGAATCATTTCACATCTCCTCACGTGCATCCTTTCCTGGAGGTTTTACTTCCTCCCAGCATAGGAGAAAGGCTGGCTAAATGACCAGCACTGTACCATTGAACATGTATCTACCCATTCTCTTGTTACAAAGATGAGGATTATAGGGTCCAACGTCCAAAGTGCTCAGTAAGTCTTGTGAGTGTAATCCCATACATCATCACAGTACACATCCTCTTTCTTCTTCTTCCTGATTCTTTCCAAGAGTTCTGCTCCCTTCCACCCTGATACTCAAACATAAAAAGTCCATAGAATCTTAGTGACATAAGAGATCATATTGTTATGAACAGCAATCACCCATCTTCAGCTTGACTTCCCAGTGATGGTAACTCAGTACCGTAAAGTCACGTGCGTAAGCATGCAGTTGGACAAACTTACTGGATTAGTCACGAAAGAGAAAGCGTAAATTGCAAAAGTTATGCAGGCAGTAGATTGTATCAGTGTCAATCTCATGGATGTGATATTGTACATTAGTTAGGCAAGATGTTACCTTTGGGGAAAACTGGGTAAAGCATATATGAGACCTCTGTTTTACTTCTGAAAACTGCGTGTGAATCTACAATTATCTCAAAATAAAAAGCTTAAAAAGTTATATGGGTAAAAAGACATTCATAGGCAGACTTCTTTTTCCAAGACCATCAAACTGTCATGGTGCTGGGAAGGGAATGCACAAAAGAAACCACTATCTTACCATGTTGACCTTGGAAGTGGTAGGAGAAATTCACAGAAATAAACAGAAAAATAGCAATCTGGGGAGAGAAAAGTGGTGATGAATATGAATTTTTATTTTAGCATCAAATATAATAGTGGCGTTTGCAGTATTATTGTGACTATAAACTCCACCTCCCCTCAGCTGCCGTACTCCCAGTCAGCCACCTGCTACGGGATCACGCATTTTTTTCAGAATTATTTAATCTATGTATCTGGTTGGTCATAGTTTCAGTTTGCAGAGCTAAACCAAACACCCTGCCCTTGATTCTGTTTCATCTCTCTTCTAGTCATCTGACCTTCCCTTCCTTTCCAGGAATTCTTAAAATCATTGACTTCACGGATGGAAATCAGGCTTCTGACCGCCTAATAAATAAGTTCACCAGTGAAAAGCCTATTTTTCATTCTGCTTAATTACAGGCTTCAGAGACACTCAAAATGGAGGGTGTCTTAGGGACAAATAATACTGTAGGCTTGGTTTACTTATCTCCTGTTGGCATTGGCACCAAGCCCTTCCTCTGCTTTGAAATTCATGGCTGTGTATGTGGCTGCATACTAAACAGACCGAGGCAACCACACAGCCTGCTTCGCCCGTCCAGCTGCGGCTCAACTAATACATACACCTTAATGGCCAATTCAGAACAGTAGTTTAGATAATTAACATGACTGGTTTGTTTCTAATGCAATCTACGTATGTGATCACAAATGAATACACGTATTGTCATTTGAATTGCATTTGGTAAGCTATACTGGGCCTTGAACTACAACATGTTTATTCTGAATTCTAGATGATTGGCATCAAAATTGGCCTTTAGAAATGTATGTATGTATGTATAAATGATTAGATGACATATAGAGAATTTTCTTAAAATCAAAAATACAAAACAGTAAAAAGCAAATTTCCCTCCTTCTCTTGTTTCCTCAGACTCTCATTTCCCTTTTACAGAGACAATTACTATCAATAGTTTCAAGCAGAGACAATCTGTGCTTCTATGAGTACATATGTGTAGGTTTTATGTAGAGAGCAAACATTATAGCTATACTTCCCTATTTATTGCATAAAAGGCAGCACGATGTACACATTGTTCTACAATTTGTTTCTTTTTGTTAATGACAACTCTTAGAGGCCTTTCCATAACAGCATCTGTGATCTGCCTCCACTTTTTTTTTTTAATATTTATTTATTTATTTATTTTTGAGGAAGACTAGCTCTGAGTTAACATCCACCACCAGTCCTCCTCTTTTTGCTGAGAAAGACTGGCCCTGAGTTAACATCCGTGCCCATCTTCCTCTACTTTATATGTGGGACACCTACCACAGCATGGCTTGCCAAGTGGTGCCATGTCTGCAGGGGGTATCCAGGCTGGTAAACCCCAGGCCGCTGAAGCGGAACATGTGCACTTAACCCCTGCTCCACTGGGCCAGCCCCTGCCTCCACTTTTTAAAAAGCTGCCTAATGTTCTGTTGAGTGGATATAATCATTTTGTATTTAACCAGTCACATTGATGGATATTTGTTGCTTCCAATATTTTATTACCAACAATGCATTGGTGAACATCATTGCATGTAATTATTTGTGCCATGTGTTGTAGTGTCTGCATGGTACATTCCTAGAAAGAGAATTCTTGGCTAAAAGGTATATTTAGGTTTTAGGTTAATAGATACTGCCTAATCGTCTTCCAAAGAGGCTGTATAGTTTGCCCAATGATGTATGAGAGGATTTGTCTCCACACCATACAATCGACTTTTTTAACTTGCCGATCTGATTGTAATTATATTTATCTACTTGTGAATGTGGTTAAGCATCTTAAAAATCCTTTGTTATATTCTTTCTACTTCACCACTCAGTTCTTCATCAATCCCCGAATAATATCTATTCCTCTCTGATTTAAAATGGCAGCTAAAATAAATCTCCATGTTTATTTTAATCTATTTCTGAACTTTCTATTCTGTTACATGTATCTTATTGTTTACAGGCATTAGTACCAATTTTTCTAAATTTCTATACTTTTATAATAAGTCTTATATAGCAGTTTGGTGCCTTTTTATTGTTTTTTTTTTTTTCAGAATTTCTCTAGATAATTTTGCAAACTTATTTGTTGGTGGTTGTGTTGGATGTTTCATTAAAATAAACATTGAAATATACCCTGTTTAAAAATAGGGTGAAGGGGCCGGCCCCAAGGCCAAGTGATTAAGTTCACAGGCTCTGCTTCAGCAGCCCGGCATTTGCTGGTTCAGATCCTGGGCGCAGACCTATGCACCACTCATCAAGCCATGCTGAGGGAGCATCTCACATAGAAGAACTAGAATGATCTACAACTAGGATATACAACTACATACTGGGGCTTTGGGGAGAAAAAAAAGAGGAAGATTGGCAACAGATCTTAGCTCAGGGCCAGTCTTCCTCACCAAAAAAATAAATAAATAATTAAATAAATAGGGTGTGATCACCGTGAGACAGGGAAAGCTTTATGCCCAAGATCAAGTTAGAGCTGGGGCTGAAAATGATGTGTAGGAAAAGAGGAAAGAGGAATCAACAAAGGAAAGAAAACTAAATAAATGTTCCAAATACGAGACTCTGTAAAATACCCAGAAATATCCCAGAATAAAACATGCACTTGAATGTCATTAAGTTATTTAAGCAGCCAGGTAGTTTTGCAGCCGCTTGTATTAGCCTTGCTTTTAAGGGCTTGACAAATAGTCCCAGAGTTCTGACCTTAGACTGAAATCTCTAGCACTCTGTACCTGTGAGCATGCAGGCAACATTCCTACCCACAGCGTGCGCTCTACCTGTCCCCAGGAGCTAGCATTCACAAGTGCTCTGGTAGGAAGCCTAACTTAGAGAGAAGCTAACAAGTTCTGAGAAAGAGGGAGACCAACACAGACGGCAAACCACTCTCTTTGAGCAGCTTGTTTTTTAAGTATGTCAAGACCTTTTAGTTTCACTTCAGTGATCTCAAAAACAGGAACCTTGTGTTTGCCACTATTCCAGGTAACCATCTCTCTTTCTGGAAAATGATTGTCATAGGTACTCTAAGACTTGATTTGTTATAGATTTATTCTTTGGGTAACTTAACTACTACATTTAAAAGATTTCTTTCAAGAAAGTGTTACTAGCATCTTGTGACATTATATTTATTGGTTAAAGTTCAGAAAACAAAATAGTCCATGACATTAGTCTTATTTCTTCTTTATTTAGTTCTATTGCTGTTGAAGTAATAGGATGCAATTTAATCTTTACTTAACTTGGTTATGCTGTAAAATTTTTTGAATCAAAAATGGCACTGACATAGCAAAATGCTATGGCAGGATTAATTTAAGACATGTTTACTGTTGCCTGTGAACATACTTGAGGCTGGGTGGGTTTTCACTGCCGAACAATATAGACAGAACCATCTTAGAATTTATTTTGGTTCCTCTGTTCTAGCATCTCATTCTGATTAATACTTGCATTTATGTATCTGTGTTACTCAAATGCGATGTATCTGAAAGATTTAGATCTGAAATATATTAAGACTTTGCTTGCCATTTCATGATAACCCCCAAGTCTGCCAGCTGATGCATTGACAGTGAGGTGGTAATAATGTAATACTGTGTACTCCTTGCTCGGGTATAGCACAGGAGAAGACTAGGAAGTGACTTGAAAGTGAAATGATGGCTTTATTTGTTTATCTGTTAAGCTGGATCCCAAGTGATTTCATCTACTCATAAATAAACTTTCTTTATGGACAAAATTTGAATGTTCATTTATCTCTCAGTTAGTATGCAAATCTATTTGCAGTTTCTAGCAAAAGAGAGTGCAACTCATTTTCTGTGCTTGTAAATTGTTCATTACCATGCTCTCTGATGGCCAATTCGTGGCTCCATCTGCAACTCCACAAATCTCCTTGCCCAGCTAAACTTGGTGGAGTAAATATAAGGTGCTGAAGAAGATGAGTTTGGGATTAAGGAAAAAAAAGACATATCTCACACAAAATTCCCAAGTCTATCATTTTAAATTTTGTAATTTCTTGCTTGTATTTAGTTTTGTATGCTATGGTCCAGGAAAACAAATACTTCACTGATTTCATCAATCCAGTTTTTAGGGTCGCACGTAAACGACATTTAACAATTTTCCCATTGTACCCAGAAGGAGTCTCCTTCAAGGAATAAGCAAACATACAAACACACACATCCTCTGGATAAGAGTACTTTCTTTTCTCTGTGATGTGGATTATTGTAACCTATAAGGTTCAACACAGACAACTAAGATAATTGTGTTATAAGGCTTATAGTTTCAGCCTTCTAAAACAAAGCAATCAATGTTATCGCTTTTGCCCTCTTCTTTGATAAAGGGAGAAATGTAAATCTCAACAGGGATGCCATGTGATCTTAAGTCAACCTTAGACTTCCAGCTGGTTAAAGTCACTCCGTCATGCATATATTTAGCATCCGTTAATGTTAATGGAATGGACTTCTGTTTTCATGTCGGGAACTTGATTCCTTTGCATGAAAATAATACAAATATTGAACCGCCTTCTTGTAGCTAAAACGTGAAAACAAAGAAAAAAGGCAAGATGCACAAAAGCTCTTTAGAGCAGGCAAATCTGCCTATAGAAAAAACAAGAGGTGTTTTAACATCCTTCTACGGTAGCGTGTAGGATAGGAATCTGGCCCATAACGTATATCTCCTGTCACTGTTGAGATGGAGAGCTACCCAGAGATTTTTTTCAATTAAAATTCTGTGCACCAACAATAGACTCGGCTACAGAGCTTTTAATTAAAAAAACAAACGAAATGCCATAAACCCACATTGTCTCTAGTCACTGTGTGTATTAAAGGATTAGACTGATGAGATGTTTGGATTTTATTGTTCTTAACATGTTTCAGTTGGTGCTCTCGGACCCGCTGTGTGAAGAAAATGAAACGTAAGTAAATTGCAAGAGGCTCCATGTTCTTATTTAGCATTTTCAAAATTCAAAGGATAAAAATGGCTCAAGTCGTTTGAGAAGCTCCAAATGAGTTCCAAATGATCATTATCATCGCTCATCTATGGTTGCATCCATACCCAAGAGTCGCAGTGATGACAGAGGACAGTTTTCTGGATAATTCAGTTTCAAATATCAGCAAACTAACAAAATTTTTGACCTGCTTATGTGTATATTTCAAAGGGATTTTGATATAAATTATGCGGATAATTGACTCAATCTTCTCACTTTTTGTGCTGTAGACTTAATGGTTCCCAGAATTCCATTTGGGAGATGGGGAGAAGGTGCCATAAATAATGCTGGTGATGATTAATGATCACTGTAACGTACTGTGACTTAGTGCAAGTGTCAGAAAAGCACTTCTGCCAAGGACTGTCTTCTCCTGGGTGCAGCCCTCACGGCCAGCTAGCTGTTTTTAATTATCATTGCCTGTTACCCTCAAGGCCAGGGTCTCTGGCCACTGTCTTCAGATTAAGAGGCCATGCTAGGTGGGGTGCTTTTCTTGGCCCTGGAATCATTCACCTGTCTCTGGTGGATCATCTCATTATTGACAATCTGCTTATTAACTCTGTACTACTCTTTCAGTTTTGCATGACCCTGCATTGCCATTTCTTTGAATTAATTTTGGACTCGCCCTTTTCTTTGTCCTCTGTGGTTTGTGACATAGAGTTTTGATTATTGGTGGGCTTGCATAACTCTGGACCTCATGGCTGCCTCATCTTGCCCCTTCATATTCTGCCTTTGACCCAGAATAATACAATAAAGAAATTCATGATTGAAAAGGATCATAAATATTGAGTCTAATTCTCCAATCAACATGACAGGAAAATATGGTATTGAGGAACTTTGTGAGCTGTCTTGAGAGTCACTGAGGTGACTGGTCTCCTTTTCAAGTGAAGAAATTGAGACCCAAAGAGAGATAGTAACAAATTAATTACAGAATTTCAACCAGTATTTAGGTACGAACTTTTTTGGCTACATCATTTTGCCTGCAAGTGTCTGTTATATTTATTTTTATTTAATACCATTGCTTTTGAATGAAAACAAGAAACCACCTCAAACAAAGTGCAAATTAGCAGAAAATAAAGACAGAGAAGGCAAGAAAGTGGCTGATTTTGTAGGGAGGTGGTATAAGGTAAGTGAATGGATTGTAAGTAGTCATAGTATCTCCAGCCTGCTCCCACCACAAGAAGGCGTTTGTGGGATCTATTATCAGTTCTATTTAAATTTGTTTTCAAACACCAGACTGTTTTTTTCTGATCTAACCTACTCAATTTATTTTTGTAACAGTATTTTTAGTATGAACAATGCATTGCTATGTTGCATTTGTATAAAATTTAAATACATATTAAGTAATTTAGTATGTGAAATAAAACATGACAGAGCCTCCTCATAATTATACCTTGAATCCTTTCTCTTTCCGGAAATAACCAAGTACACTTATGCACATGTATGTACATAAATAGAGTAATTTATAAAATATAAGTATGATCATACATATACAGGATTCTGTAGATTAATCACATTAATAGATTCCTGATGATATGCCACCATCTTACCTGACTTGAGAATGTTAAGTATTTTGCTCAAGAGTAAGCAAGTAAAAGGCAGAGCTTGGGGGCTGGCCCGGTGGCGAAGCTCTACTTTGGCAGCCCGGGATTCATCGGTTCGGATCCCAGGCACGGACATAGCACCGCTTACCAGGCCAGGCTGTGGCAGGCGTCCCACATATAAAGCAGAGGAAGATGGGCACGGATGTTAGCTTAAGGCCACTCTTCCTCAGCAAAAAGAGGAGGATTGGTGGCGATGTTTGCTGAGGGCTAATCTTCCTCAAAAAAAAACAAAAGAAAAAGGCAAAGCTTGGATTTGGACCTAGGACTGACTCCTGAGCTCAGAATTTTAACTACAGAGCCATATTGTATATCCAATGTTTAAATGAAACTATACACCTGGCGAAATACCTGAGGGATATATAGTCCACATATTCTTCCAGATACTATACAATTTACCCCGGCTTAGTTAGGTCAGGCCACCAGTCTCTGGGTGATATGATTTGGACCCAGTTCTCCCCCAAATTATTGTAGCTGAATTGCTCTTTGGCCTGTTAAGGAATGATAAAAAGAGAAAAAGATCCATGAAATTTGTTATTGCCTTTGTTCTAAGAATACTGTTAAAAAATTGTTTCTACTGTTAACAGTGGCCTCTTTATAAAGCCCGATAGTTTGAATTTTTTCTGGTTTCTATACCAGGAGTAATTGTGCAACTGGTGAGTGAGTAATGCTGCCTTTTTGTTAATTTTAGAGGACACTCTATAACCAATTCTCTCTCTCATCCTGTTAACTGCTGGAAAGCTTAAGCCAGATCTGGAGTTCAGTCCTAATTTTATATATGAGATTTACTACATTCAGTTCACAAACTCATCTCGCTCTTGGCTTATTCTCTTTGATGCTCTCCATGCTCTCATTTCTAATTTTGTTTTTGTATTTTTCACATTTCCTTAAAGCGTTTGGGAGCACAGGATACTGCACGCATTCAGGCAGTACTCCACACGGTAATACGAGGCTGGAGCTGGCTTTTACTCGTCCCAGTTGCAGTCCTGCCTGGTGGTAGGAGTCACGGACTCCACGGCCAGACCATTCGGGTTTAAAGCCTGCCTCTGCCACTTCCAGCTCTCTTATCTTCGGCAAGTTACTTAACCCCTCTGTGACTGAATTTTCTCAGCTGTAAAATGAATATTATAATAATGACCCCACCTTGTAGCGTTATAAGCGTGAAAGTGAGTTAGTTCACATGAAGTTATACAAGCAGTTTAGGAGAATACCTGGCACAGGAAATTTTGGGTGATTCTAGCAGAGAAGCCAATGGAGCAACTCTGCCATTTTCTTCTTGAACTTATCAAATTAATGAATTTGTAGGTAATCTTAGGTCCACAGATTCTCAGCCCTGAGAAGAATAAAGATCAGCTAATCGAGCCATCTCTGTAGAGCACATCTCATCTCACGTCCAAGTAAAGTAGGGCAGTAGTTGTTCTGGTAGGGGCAGAAACAATCTTCAGCAACTGCTTCTAGAGAATGCTGATTATTGGAAATGTCTTCCTTAAACATCATAGCCAGTTCTCATTTCTCCCTGACATTTTTCCTTTCAGCATCATCATCCTAATTTAACCAAGTATACATATATATATTTATATATATATAAATATTTGACTAACAACTTTATTTTCAAAAATATAATTTGTCCTACACTGAAGAACCTGCATCTGAAATTTGAGTAATTACAATATTGCTACAGTTGAGGTGATGCTTTATTTCTTTTAAGAATTAAAAAATTTCTGTTTAAAAATAGAACTTGAGAACGACATAGAAATAATGGTAGAGGAAAGAAGCACAAGGAGTCGGAAGACCTATAGTCTAGTTTAATTTCTTTGGTCAGCTAGTGACCTCCCCACTGGCATTCTCAGTCTGGGTCTCAGTTGTACAGTGTGCAAAATCCTAAGGATGAAATAAATGACCCAAAGGTGCCTGCACTTCTGAAATTACATGATCGCTTTGCATTTCTCCAGCTAACTGCCTCCTGGCCTTTTTATTGTATATCAGAACCCCCACCAGTGGGTGCATGGTGTCAAAAAGAGAAAGCAAAGTAAATCAATTTGGATAATTAATACACCTGCAAAAAATATTGACTGGCTCAAAACTTAGAAATGAGAAATAAAATAATATTTAGAATTGACATTATAATAAGCATATGATCTATTTTTATATGGAACAAAGAGAAATAGAGATTTACATATGGAGGGACATGAAACACTCCTGGTCATGAGCTTAGATTTCAAGATTCAAAAACAGAACCTTCTGCTCTTTTGTTGGACCAGGACACTAAGAGAATTTCCCTAAATCCATCTCTAAAGTGGGATACTACATCTTTAAGATTTCTATAGAATATTTAAAATTTTTAGGAGTACAAAAGTGATGTGGGTACATTATAAAAATTCAAACAATATAGAAATATTAGAAAGATAAAGTTCCTCATAATACCATCTTCAAGAGAAGTAAGCATTATTAGTAGTTTGGTGTATATGCACATAATGGCTGTTTTGGTGAAATCATTGTATTTGTGTAAAAGAAAACACACAAAGTAGAGCTGAACTCTCTATGTCATTTTACTCAACAAGTTTTTAATTATAAAAATAAAGCTACATCCTTTTTGATGACTGGGTAATACTCCTTTGTAAGGATATGCCATTAATTTTTAAAAATTGTTTTTTGAAGTTATGTTGGCTTACAGCATTGTGTAATTTCAGATGCACATTATTATATATCAGTTTCTGTATAGACTGCATCATGTTCACCACCAATAATCACTTTTATCCGTCACCATACATATGTGCCCCTTTACCCCTTTTGCCCTCCCCCTATCTCTTCCCCTCTGCTAACCACTAATCTGTTCTATTTATCCATGTGTTTGTTTATCTTCCACGTATGAGTGAAATCATATGGTGTTCATCTTTCTCTGTCTGGTTTGTTTCACTTAGCATAATATCCTCACAGTATTTTTAAAATCCTTTATTGGTGATCATTTGTCTTAGGATGCTTTTTAAAGTCATACTTCAGCGGCCATTTTTTCCTAGCCATTTATACCTCTGTGCTTTGCTAAACCCTCTAGGTGCACCAAAAGAAAAAAAAAAAAAGAAACCCCACAGACACACACAAATATACCCCAAAACTTGTTGTCTCAGTGATTGACTTTTGTCTTCAATTGTTGGGGTAAAATTTTAAAGTTGACATTTCACATATGTTAAAAAGTCATTTCTGACTAGTCTGATGATAAACATGACACTCTGCCTCCTTTGAGATGCTGGGAGCAATAAATTAACTGACATTTATGAATGCTTTCAAGCTGAAAAGTATTGAGTGTTATTTTAACAATGGCTGAAGAAGACATGATTAAATATAGCTCCATCTCAGAGGCTTATCGGGCTGTGATGAACAGGTTTCCACTGTTTAATCCCAGAATACTTTAAAAGTGGCATACATACGGAGCTACGAAGAAAGTCCATCAACAAACATACATTCAGTTCACCACGTCTGGCATAACAAGGGTCTCTGGAATGAATAGCACATAAGTGTCTACACCTGGGGAGCTAAACCTCCTGAAAGTCAAACTGCGGACTATGTTCTTGTGTGATCTCTTAACACTTATCTCAGGAACGATTGAGATGTGCCTTGATACACAAGTGGTTTGACCATTCTGACCAATGAGATCAATTTGTAACTCCTTAGTGATTGGTATTTATGGCCACACTCATTCATTCTCCTTCTATCCTAATTCTTTCTCTAACCAGGGGTGCAGGCCTGCTATTCCATACCAAGAAATTAAGGCTTAATAAAGATTATAAACCTTTCCTGGAGAAAGTACATTTTAAAAAACTCAAGGTCTCTCAATAAACAGAACAGTGGAAGGGTTATCTGCCTAATACCTAATACCTATGACATCTTAGCCTGAAAAGTTAGTCACTACTTTCTCAGTGCACAACAATATTCATAACTCTAGAATCAAATCTATTACAGTGCAATTATCTATTTATGTATCTGACAGTTTCACATTTACCTGTATTCTCAGTGCGTTGAATGAAGTGGGCATATGTTGAACACTTGCTTAATTGTTTTGGCGGGATGCAGTGAGTGGGTGATTGTTGGGGAAACAGATGTGGTCAGGACAAATATTATGATCCAAAGGATGGGCCTTGCCCATCCAGAGGTCCAGTGCTAACTGTTTTTCCTTTACCATCAGGTGCATAAACTATAAAGATCAATACCCAAATGGCTGGTATATCTGGTAAGGACATCCTCAATCTGTTCCATAAAACCTTTTGTGATATATAGACACTCCTTCTCCTAAATAATTGAGATGGCATATGAAATCACCCAGCTTAAAAAAAAAATTAGGAGTAACATGAATCAATATATATAGAAAGATCACTTTCCCCTTGTTGGCCAGTGTTTACTTAAAGACTCCATATTACAGGGAGCTTACTACTTATAAGAATAATAGTTTATTCCTGAGTGCGGAGATCTTTAAAGGTAAAATAATTGTTCTTTCTCTTGAAATCTCCCAGAACAATTCCTCCACTGATTTTAGTTCTGACCTTAAGATAAGACTGCTACCTCTTTTATGAGCTAGTCCTTCAGAAATTTTAAGAGAGTTGTTAGAATCTCCTAAATCCTGACTTCTGTGTTTTCCAAACTAAGCATTACCAGTGTTTTCAGTTAGATGGTTAGCTCCTCAAAGATAGGGACCATGTCTTGTTAACCTTTGAATGCCCAAACCCAGCATCTAAAATCCGTTCCGTTGCTTAAATACAAGTGGAATGAACGGATGGATGGCTGAACGAAAGGAATAATGGATGAATGAATTAAGGAACCAAGTCTGCTCCTCAGAACAATCTTCTAATTTCCAAAGAGAAACAGTCATGATCACCTGGCAAAATCGACCCACTCTGAGCTCAGTGAACATTCCAGGTTCAGTGAAAAATGGGCAAGTGGTGGTGAGGGGATTGCTTAAGGAATTCAGCCTCCCAGATTGCTTGCATTCCATCTCTCTGAGTTCTTGCCCCCTTTCCAGAAAGCAAGAGAAGCTCCTCACTTCCCTGCATGCTCCATCTTACTCCTCCCCTGCTTCTTCTGAAATCAGGCTCTTGCTGCTGATATTCCTGATGGCTCTTCTCTGTGGAGCAGTGCTTTTCTGCCTCCAGTGCTGGCTGAGGAGACCCCGAATGGGTTCCCAAAGACACACCATGGCTGTTTTTGCTGTTGGAGACTTGGACCCTGTCTGTGGTAAGCTGTCTGCACACTTTGGGACTTCCTCTTTGAGACCTCATGGTTTTGCGCTGAATTGAACAACTAACCTCTGAAAAGCAGATTTATGAACTTACAAGACCTAGCTTATTGGAGACTCAAAGGCATTCACTGGGGAAGAATCTAAGTGAGAAAACTTCAGAAGAAAGGAGACCTCAAAAGAAAAAAAAATGTGTCTTACGGAAATGACTCATAGTTGAATATGGTCTAGGAAATAAGCAGGTTGCTCAGTCAACAAGCAGAAGGGAAGAGACATACAGGGCTGGTCACTCCAAGTGAGTCGTAGAGTTTAAGGTACAGAAGAGTGTCTCTGTGCTTTTGATATCAGTCTAGCCTACCCTGTGTTCACAGTCTCACCTACTAAGCTCTCTTTGCCTCACTTGTCTGCAGTAATGTTGAACCACACTTTCCAGATTGTCTGCTGCCAAGGCAGAGCCTGAGATACTTGGAATTGGGCAGGCAAGTGTCAGTACTCATGTCCCTTCTTTGGCAGCATTCTGATGCCACCTCCTCCCAACTTACAGTCCCAAAACCATACCCTTCCTATTATTTTCCAGTCTATATTGGGAGGTAAAAAAATGGAGGAAATGGAAGTTTTAGAGTTACTTGTAATTGCCAGCCTTAGCTGTAAGTAGAAAAATGACCCACTTATGATTTCTGGGAGGTGACAATTGATAGTTTATTTGTTCGTTGTGAAGCGTTGTCCTCCTCCAGGGACCATCTGTTGTGAGACTCTCCCCTTAAGGTACTGTATCGCACACCACAGTTGCCTCAAGTGTGCTTGGTAGGGACGATCAGCCGCCCTTCAGAAACGTGGGCCAGCATAAGATTTTCAATAGATAGAGCAGGGCGTATCTTAGGAAAACTAACAGCTAAGGAAAAAGCAGGGCAAGCATAAACTAAAATGGTTTAATATCAAAACCCAGTAGAAGATTTAGTGATTATATTCACTATCGGCTTCTTTTTCTAAGTCATTATTTAACAAGGGAAACACATTGTCAATTTGAGAAATGGTTATTTTGGAGAAGGACAATTACAGTCTCCAATGAAAACAGCTCTTTCTCCTAAAATCAAAAACACTTTCCACTGAGTATACAGGGAAATAGGGTCCTTCTAACGAAGGACCTTCTAACAAAATATGTTAGTCAGAGATTGACCTTCTAACGAAATATATTAAAGAGATAAGCATGTTTACATTGGTCTATTTTTCTTTATTTAACCAGAGGTGTTGAATAAATAAATGCAATTATGTTTCCTCCAACTTGACTTGAGTTTCTCAAAAGGAGAATCCACACTGATTTTCTTAGCCCTTCTCTCACTCTGAGGAAAACTCTTTTACCAGACTACCTTGAATTTTAAAAATATTCTGCTTTTAATTTTCAGTAAGCTACCCAGTTGTACCGCTATAATTTTTAAGGCAGTCTATGTGCCATGATTATATTTCCATTTATCTGATGTTTTTATATTTCCTGGATGGTGGTTTACATGCATGCTTTTGAACTTGCCTGAACAAGTATGTGTGAGAGAAAGAGTCAAAGTTGATACACCACTTCAATAATCTGCATGCAATAGCACTGAGCGCAGGGCGTTAGAATGACATTCTCTATACTACCTTGAAGTTATTATGGACAGGAAAAGACAATACTTGGGAAGAAATTGTCTTTTAAAAAACTAATATAGTCACCATTTATTTCACATCCACCAAATTCTAGGCACTAGGTCAGGGGTTTCTAGAATATTATTTCTAATTCCTAAACACAAATTCAGAAAAGCAGCTATTACTTCTCTTAGAGGATGTTATCTACTTTCTCACTTTACTGGATAAATATACCACATAGATCTTTGTTGCAGATTAACTAATAGACTTAAAATTGTCTGAAATTGCTAGAGGATAGGGAGCCAATGAAAATTTGGGCAGGACACCATAGCTTGGCCACCTTATCTCTGGACACTGAGTACAGTCTTATAGCTTGAACCTCCAAATGTTTCCATTGGGTGATTCCTCAATGGTAGGGATTGCTCTCCAAATCCCTACTCCTTTCCTCACTCTATCCTTTCCTCCCTAATCCCGTTGGTATTGTTCTGGATCTTATTTTGCTCAAGAAACATTCAAACTCCTCCAGCTTAAGTTGTATTATAAAGTTTACTTTTATTGATTTCCATCTTAGAGGGCACAGGCTCAGTTGCCCCTTCCCATTTATTTTTTCCCTTGCCTACACTGGTTGGGTATTAGGTTATCCCATCAATCACCCCCTCCCATCCAGTCCCACGAATGCTCAGGGTGGCTGGACAGGCAGTGAACAGCCATTCACATAGTCTTTGATGTGGATATGGACTCTAGAGTTTGCTTCTTGGCATTCCTGTTTCTCCTCTCTAAAACAAAGTACACAAGATTAATTTAGGAAGTGGTATCTCTGTGATTTCCAATCACTGCTTCTTAACTAGCAATTTTTGGAAGTAAATTCCAGGAATCGATATTGTAAGGCAGTCAGAAACCCAGACTCAATGATTTCCTTTCCCCACTGGATCCTCATTATACTCTCACTTCTCCAAATGAATGATTCTTCCTACCTAAAATTTCCTTAAAAGGAACTGCTCTCCCAAAGGGAAGGGAGGGAACCACCATAGGATGTTTGTATGGCTACAGAGGGAGGGATTGGCGCAGACCACAGCTTCTACCTCCACAGTCCCCACAAAGTTTGTACTAACAGCTTAGAGTTGAGTCCAGCTACTGCAAGATTCATACACCCACACTGCACTTCTGAGTCTTCCTCACAGCCACTGGTCAGAAGCGGGAGAAGAAAATGAGAATTCACTTGAAAGACACTTGTGACATCTTAGAATATGAAATAGGGTTTCTGGACTCCCTACCACCCTTTGAGCATGAACAGGACAATAGGACTTTCCTTCCTGAATACAGAATGTGGGAAATGGATCATTTAAAACATTTTAATAGAGAGAATAGATTTGATATATTAACCTTGGCTTCCTCTTAGACTTTCATTTTATTTATTCAGAACTTATTTAACATTATTACTGCTATTTGCTGAATAGATTAGTTGAAACAGTTCTGCTCTCCTGGCTTGTGGGTCAGAGATTTGACTCTCAGGATCTCCTGGAAGTTGCCCTCCACTGAGAAGAGCTGAGAGGAGAATTTTGACCTACTATCAAAGGCTAGAGTGAACTGAACTTTACTGATGTTGAAATATATAAAATAGGAAATTTCTCTCACTAGCAATTCCTAACAACATTATATGGCTCAGGTTGCCAATTATCTTGACTAGAAATATTAAAGAGAGAAAGAAAAATACTTGGTTTGGGGTCCTTATAAAAGGTATTTAAGGAAGGTCTTGCCAGCCCAGCCTATCCCAATGTGTGATGAGACTTCTGTCTGGGAAAGATCCTTAGGAATCTCAGCCAGAGACCCAGGCTCCAAGAGCATCTCCTGGGCCAATAATCATGGCTTTTCACAGTTCTCTGCTGATCTGTGCTCAGATTTCTCAGTTTTCCTTCCCTTTTCATAGGATCTACATTTCCAGGTCCATAGCATGTTATGATGAAGCTCTTTATGAACCAAAAAAGGTGAATTAATTCCTTTGATCCTCCCATGGAGTGTAGGGAAGAAGGGGAGATATTGTTAGAGAAAGAGGAAGACCAGAAGAAAGTCAAGAAGGTGGAGAAGGGGAAGGATGAAGAACGAGAGGAGAAGGAACTCACTATTTGAAGTTGGAGATAATTTAAGGACTGAAATGAAAACTTATCTATTTTATACAAGCCGTAAAACCACGTTATTTTGTTTTGCTTCAGGCCCACCTCCTCTTCCTGTATCCAGCCCCAGGGTCTCCTAGATAGTCCTTTCTTCCATTATTATTCTGCCCCGACCCGACTTATCTTCTGAATTCAGGTTTCCTTACCATCTCTGATATAACCCCAGAAAGGATCTGCTCAATGCCTATATGTCTTCTTGAATGGGATCATCCATGAAGTAGTCTCTGAGGCGTTCTCATTCTCTTCTCTCAACCATCAGATCACAGCAATTCGAGCGTAATTCAGGTGGGAATTTTTTCAGCACTCATGTAGGGGTAAAAATGATTTCCTACTTCAATGTTTTCTTATCTCACTATCTTATCTCTTTAAATGATGCTTTTGCAATCCCTCCTATCCGATAATTCAGCAGAAAACAAGAGGAGATTTTCAACCAGTTTTTTTTCTCCACAAATGTGTAAATGGAGAGTGAAAAACTGGACCACAGAAAGTGAATTTTTTTAAAGGAATGTATGCAAATTTTTAGTAAAAGTGGGGAAAGAAGAAGATAAAAATGTCAAAATTCTTTATAACCATCTGTATCCCAAATCAGGATCAGTGCTCTCACTTTATAGGATCAAGAACTATACGAGAGGGTGAATAGGTAGAAAATAAAAGCGATTTAAAAAAAGAAGAAAAAGAAAAAGTTTTGAGTTTTTTAGGTTAATAGTTTTGTTTATTTTTTAAATTTAGTTTTGAAAAAATATGTAATGACAAGGAGTTTTGTAGTTTATTATAAATGAAGGTCTTTTAATTCACTGAAAATGTTTTCATTGAAAATAGGTTGTGAAGCTATATAAAAGCCCTTATTTATGAGGAAGTAAGACATTTAAAGATAATAAAGAGAAAAAGTCTGGGGTCTTAGAGGTAGGACAAGGACAAAGGACTTGATGCAGAAAAATAATCCAGTGTTCCTCAGGAAAGAGAATTTGAGAGCACAGGAGAGGGATCTCCACCATTGTCTGTCCATATTTTTTAACAAAACATAATAAACTTCATAAAATATACATTGAATCCTTTTCCATCTCATCTGGCTCAGAGCTGGGTCCCCCCAGTCCTGACAAACAGCAAGCAGGTGCCAGGCCTTTCCTGGGGAGACACCTCTCCTGGGGACACTCATCTTGGCTTAGGGTCTCCTTGGTCTCATCTTCCTGATAACGCTGCCCTTCAACTCTCCAAACTTCCTGACCCCGTTTATTCTGCAATTTCAGAGATAATCTCCCCTTTTTCTTGTTGCAGGGCAAATAGAAAGACTGGTCTTCCAGCAATGATTAAATACGAGGATTCTGAGTTGGGGAGGGGAAGGAGGACTGGACAGAGACAGACAAGAAGCAGGCCCTCACACGCTCTGCTCCTTTCTCCCTGCACCTCTCCCAGGATCTGATCTTATTTTGGGATCCTTTTTGAAGTGTCATTTTCCTGTACTTTATGTTCTACATGTAAATATTCTGTGACTCATTTTAGGCAAGGGAAGAAGGGGTATTTCACTCACACACTCTCTTGGAAAGACATGATAATAGTAAAAGCTCACATTTATTGAGCATTTGCCTTGCTTTGTGCTAACACTTGACATCTTATATCTCATTGATTCTTCCCTGCAACTCTATGAGGCGTTTGCTACCATTCTGAACACTCTAGAGATGAGGGGAGAAAGGCACTTAGACGTTAAGCAACACAGTTAGTAGATGGTAGAACTGTGACTTGAATTCAGGCACTCTCAACCACTTTCAGATGAGAGAAAGGGATGAGATAGAGAAGGGAAAAGGGCAGAAAAAGGTGGAAAGGGCATGTTAAAATGAGTCAGATCAATTGGAGTGATTCTTACAGGTGTGAGAAATCTGAACTCTGGCTAAAAACTCAGCAGTTGAGGGTATTGGTTTTACAAAATTAAACAGAAAACTCTAATACCTTCACCAACAGTTCTGTCAAAGCCATAGGACTTTTACAGGTATTTGTAACCACATTTTCTTAGGTTCTTAATCTGTTAAAAAGTAAAAATAATGCTTGCTTGCCTCCAAGTCACATGGTATTGTATGTAAACTTGCTTTGAAGAAAATTGAAAACTGATATAATATGTGTTTGATTTTACAAAAGCTCTCGAGCACATAGGCTTAGCTATGTTTATCAGATGAATTACCTGTGGTTTTTAGGACAAGATTAAGGGCAAAGGCCAAATTTGTAGTAAGGAGATGACAATAAAACTTTCTTACCATGGCGAGCAACTGTCAACATCCCGTTGCCTGGAGCATGATATTGATAATGGCAGTGGTGGAAATTTATTTGAGCTAATAATAGTGTGGAGTCAATCTGGTTGACCACTCCAGGCAGAAGGATAGCTAAGATACCATTGACTTTGTATTGAATACGCTAGGGGCAGTTCACCCGGAAAATGGACGCTCAGCACAAGTGTCCACACTGGAGGGAAGTACGAGGGCAAGTACACTTTGCCAATGTTAACTCTGTTTTATTGAGTCCCTTGGACTTAGCTCTTGTCATCCTAAACTCCTAACTGCAAAAGACTCTAACTCCAAGAAACTTTTCATTTAATAATTTCTGTGTTATAACATTAAAAATGATAATGACTAAATCATTATTTAACCATTAAAATAGGATATATTGGGAAATAATATCATAAATAAAAGAAAATGCTTGAGTATTCCCAGCCTAGTACAGTTCTTGATATATAGTGCTAATACTAATACTAGTGATAATTAAACTTTAATGGATAATTGCTGTGTGCCAGGCTTTGTTTTAAGCACTTTACCTTCATTTAGCCTTATTTTTATAGATGTAGATATTATCATTATCCTTTTATTGCATAAGAGAAAACTGAGGTCCAGAAATATTATGTAATAGCCTAGGAATAGATTATTCAATTAAATAAATAACTTTTTAAGAAAAGTGCTGAACCAGGAGGTGAAACTTATCTTCCAAATATAGCTCTACCCCTCACATATTATATTAATACTTGAATTATTATACTTTGCTCTGCAAACCAGTGAGATAGAAAATAAGACAAATTTGTGAAAATTCATGATTCTAAATAAACGTTACCCACCCCAAAGGAGTGATCTTGAGTAACCTACCTGCGGATTCCGGTGATGCAGCTATTGCCTAATACGTATCTATTCTTTGAATTGTTTTGATACTTGTAGCACTTTCTTTGGAATCTTCTCAATGGTATCAAATCTTAATCCTTTAAGGAAGAAGTCAGCAAACTTTTTCTATTAAGGGCCAGATAGGACATATGTTTGGCTTTTCAGGCCATATGGTCTCTGTGGGTACTACGCACTTCTGCCATTGTAGTACAAAAAGCAGCCAGGGACAATATGTAAATGAGTGGGCATGGCTGTGTTACAACTAATTTTAATGTACAAAAACAGTCAAAGTGCCAGCTTTCGTTTAAGGACCTAGTTTCTTCTTTAAAGGTGAATTTAAGGTTGTTAACTATTGTTTTGGAAAGAAGCAATCAAATCATTCTGATACAGCTAAAGACTCAGGTGAACAAAAGGAAAAATACAAAGAGAGAAATGGTTATAAAATATTACTGTTGATTTCCTGTATGACAGTTTTTCAGGGCCAGCCCCGTGGCGTAGTGGTTGGGTTTGCACAGTCTGCTTCAGTGGTCTGGGGTTCACAGGTTCGGATCCCGGGTGTAGACCTACACAAGCCTGCTATGGCAGCATCCTACACATAAAGTAGGGGAAGATTGACACAGATGTTAGCTCAAGACCAATCTTCCTCACACACACAAAAAAGAAAACAATAAAACAGTCTTTCAAGGAAATATTATAAAAGATTTCCAAAAGAGGTATTGGAATAAGTGCCTAGTCTCTTAAGGTGATCAATTTGACGAAGAAAATACTTATTTTTTTATATTTAGTGGCATGTAGTGTGCATAATCCGAAAGTCAAGAATTTTGATTTCAAAATTTAAAATTTGCCTTTTCTTTATTATGTGTGTATACTTTAATTGCAAACTTTTCACGACTTAACATTTTTACTATTCATCATAGAGAAATGCTTAAAGTAATTAATTGTATTAGCTGCAATCTGCAGAGTGTAAATATAAAATAATGAAGTTCAGACATAATTTTTAATGTTTCTAGTGAGACTTGCATTTCCCATGATGGGAAAATTAGCTAAAATGCCATTAGTGTTTACAGGAATCTTGTCTTCTGATCTACCAAAAAGAGTATGCCTTCTAGATTCAGCTGCTAAATTGCAAATATTTCTTGATGGCTTAGTCAATGATGATATAATCAGTTCATGAGAGCAAATTTTCTTACTATAGTGACTATTACCACTGCAGAGAGCAAGATGGTTGTAAACTTTTTCTCAAGGGTGCAAATAATTTTCTGCCACTCCAGTGATCCAAGAAATGCCAGATTTTATTAGGCAGTTCGTTGCACTTCTGTTTTATGCTGACTAGAAAGACTATAGCCAGCCCTGCTGGTCTAGTGGTTAAGATTCAGCGCTCTCACCACCACTGCCTGGGGTTCATTTCCTGGTCAGGGAACACCACCAGCCATCTGTTGGTTGTCATACTACAGTGGGTGCATGTTGCTGTGATGCTGAAAGCTATGCTATCAGTATTTCAAATACGAGCAGGGTCACTGTCCACCACATGAAAACCCTATGAAAAGCAACTGAGCACTGTTCAGAACAGTGCTGGAAGATGAGAGGATGGTACAAAAAGTCCAGACAGGCCTCTCCTCTGCTCTACACAGGGCTGCTAGGAGTCAGATTTCACTCAAGGGTACTAACAAAGAAAGATTACAAGTCCCCATCTTTCTCTTTCCAGGGACGGAAGCAACTGTGAGTCCAACTGCTGGAATTCACCATCAAACTCAAACTCCTGAACTGTATCCTGTTTCATGCTTTGGCATGTTAGGCCCTCCACCTCCATATGAAGAAATTCTGAAATCAAGCCGATTTTAGATCTGGATCATCAGTTGAAAATGAAACAGCGCATAAAACATTAACCAGCTTAGATTAGTTTTGCTTCTTGAAATCAGGTTACTTTAATCAAACCTTGCTCGATAACAGAGACGGCACTGTGCATGTGCCAGGTGGGAACCCATAGCCCCAGGACAACCCAGGAACCAAGAATCTTCAGAAATGTTGCCACTGGAGTCCTAAAGTAAGAAGAACTTCAGTAAGGAAAATCCAGTTTCCAGCAGCCCAAGAAGCTTGATTACTAGCCAATCAGCTTACATAGACCCAGCTACAGTTTAGAAGCTCCCAACTCCTTAAATTTCACCCCAACCTTGGATCAGGAAAACAGGTTTGAGAGCTTTGCCTCCTGTCTCCCTGCCAGTCGACCTTGCAATAAAGCTCTTTCTTTTATCAAATGCCAGTGCCATAGTATTGGCTTCTATGTGCATCAGGTAGTGAGCCCTTGCTGAGTAACAAAATTATAAGAAACATTTTTAACTCCAAAACATGAAAATTTAGGAACAATTCTTTAATTTTGTGAGAATTCCCAGAGATCAATTAGCATGGTCTGAAAAAGGACAAACAGATGAAAGAAGAATGAAAGTTAGGAAAGAATTTGGGTCAGGGAGGTATTTCAGCAGTAAGTTAGTGGACCCTTAGTGTAACACCGCTGGGTTACACTTTCATGCTACATAACGAAGTTACCGTTCCTCCTCAGTACTCAGATAGGCAGTAGTTAGTGCTGGGAGTAGTCTCTACTAAGTTTAGGATTCCACTCCAGTACACACCACAGCTTTCTCTGCCTCAATATCTCTGTTTTAACCTGACCTCTCTCCTACTACAGAGTTAACAAAAATCATAATTTAGCAGTGGCCCAAGCGTAAATTCAGACATGTCCAGACTCAGAACCAGAAAGAGAATATTTAAGTTAGGATGAGGGAAGAGAGTAGGAAGATGGATCACTTGTAGTTGAAGGATGACTAAAGAGGAAGAGCACAAGTCTCAGTCCAAGGAGTTGTTTGTTTCAGCCTGAGAAGGGAGAAAATGTAGATGGAAGATGGAGGAGATTATTTAAGCAGTGGGGCATGTGTAATGTCAGAAGAAGGAGAAGGCTCCCCATGCGGGTGAATGCAGAATCCGGAGCCCACAGCCCTTCTCTGATGCCTCGAGGCTTAGCGTTTCTTGGAGAACCATGATGAGATCCCCTTGGCACAGACACCAACTTCTTAGTGAGAACACTGACTCCTCTGCACCAACAGTGAGACACCATCACACTGGCCATGAGAAAGGGGACCAGGAAAAGAAATCCATGGCAGATGCCATATGGTCTTCAGCTGACAAATTTGTTGAACAAAACAGTTGACATCTCCATTTGTTTGTCTAATAGACCTCTCAAATTTAACTTGACCAAACTTATCTCCTAATCTTCTTTTCCCAGCCTTGTTGATCCAAACCTTCCTCACCTCGATTGATGGAAACAGTCACCTTCCAGTTGCTCAGACCAAAGAACTTGGAGTCATCCTTGAGTCCTCACTATGTGTCATTTCTTACATTCATTTTGTCAGGAAATGGCTTGCCTTGGCCCTCCCTTCAAAACAGGTCTAGATTCTAAGCAGATCTTACTGCATCTCTGGTGTGAGCCACTCACTGGCAGTTCTTGCCTGGATTACTGCAATAGCATCTAAATGGTCCATTTGCTCCCAGCTTTGCCCTCCTGTATCCTATTTCCAACACAACAGCTAGAGTAATCTTCTTCCAACATAAAGAGAATCATGTCCCTTAACTAAATTCCATCTCGCTCAGAGAAAATAACAAAGTCCTCGACACGTGGCCCTGTAGGATCAGTACCTCTCTCAGGTCTCCTCTCTTATGACTCTCACCCTTACTCAATTGCTCCAGGAACAGTGTCCTCAAACCTCCCAGGTGTCATCCTACCCCCATCTGTCCTTTTGGGCCTTAGTACTTGCTGTTACTTGTTGTTCCCCCAGATATCAACATTATTTCACCCCTTCACCTCCTCTAAGTCTTTGTTCAAAAGTCGCCTGCTCCATGAGGCCCACCCTGATTACCCTGCTTTAAATTGCAACCTCTGCCAACCTTGGCCCTTCCATCTCCTTGTCTCAGACACACTTTTCCTTTTTCCATAGCACTTATCATTTTCTACTATGCTACATAGCTGAATTCTATTGATAATCTGATGCTTGTCTTCCCTTGCTAGAATGTAAATCCACGAAGGGAGGGATCTTTGTGTTATCCACTGATTTTTACCTCAAGCATCTAAAATAATCTGGCACTTAATATGTATTCAAACGAATCTTGTAAGTAATGTTCCCTAGTTCTGGAAATTCCCAAAAATGACTGGATCAGAATTTGATGGCGTGAGGCCTTTTGAAAGTGAGTGTGAGTAGGAGCCAGAGATAGCTGCTTAGTGCGGTTAAAATAACCTCATTAGTATCCACTGATGAAAGAGGCTGAGGGAGCTTGTGTTAATGTACCCTAATAATCCCCGATGTCTGTGTTGGGGGGCTTTAGGGGGTACACACTGCTTTCAGATTTTATTCTCACAACAATTTTGTAAACTGGTTATTCCCAACTTCAAGTTATATGTGGTAGACTGAACATCTCCACTCTGTTTTGAAATCTGATACGATTACAGTAAATGAGTAAAAATGTCTTTAATTCACAAGAACAAAGAGAGTGGCAAGAAGATGACAAAGAAAATTAGCAGCAAGATTTTAGTACATGGAAAGATGTACGAGATGGATACAGCTGGATAAATCGTCATTGACTGGGGTTTCAGGTTTCTCCATTTTGCTATGTGTCTCCGAGGAAGAAACAGAATAATCAAGCAAATTCATGCTGTAGCAATGCAGAAAGGCTCAAGAATTAGAAGCAGGAGAGGTGAAGAGAATTCTGGAAATGAGGATGAACTTAACCTACAGAAAGATAGCATTGAAGCCACCCAGAGAAGAGGCCAGTTCCAATCAGAACATGACAACAAATAGCTGTAGGAGGGAAAGAGGGATGATTAAGGAAAAATGTATAATGAAAACGTGGTAATAAATTAGTGATTGGTAAATGGAAAGTGGAGAAACTGAAAAAACGAGGCAATTATAAATCTATGAAAAACAAAAGTTGGATTAATCCCCCCAAAATGGTTAAGCTATGAGTAATGTACCTAATATTGAATTTTAAAATGGGAGTTATTTATATTGACAAGCTATGCAGAGGGGTAAGTGTGTACGGGGGAAGGTGGCAGGATATAATAAGAAAGCTAAATCCTAATCTCAGATTGTGGAAAGTCTGTGAATAACATCTAAAATTAAAAGAAAAATCAAGAAATAATGTTAAAGTACATCATTTGAAAATTAGGTCATAAATATCTGAAGCAAAACACTAAGAGCTGAAAATTATTGCCTCAAGAAATAGGACTTGGAGATAATGCTATGTGAGATCAGGTAGAAGAGAAGTGCTACTTTTTATCATGAGCATATAGTACTATTTGACTTCGTTTTTTTTCTTTTTGGTGAGGAAGATTGGCCTTGAGCTAACAATTGTGTCAGTCTTCCTCTATTTTGGTGTGGGTTGCTGCCACAGCATGGTTGATGAGTGGTGTAGGTCCACGCCCAGGATGTGGGCCAGCAAACTCCACGCCACGGAAGCAGAGCACTCAAACTTAACCCCTATGCCACCAGGCTGGCCCCAAGTACTATTTGACTTTTAAAACGAAATGTGTGTGTTACTTTAATAAAAAGAAGTATAAAGTTAAAAGAATAAATGTTTGGCAAAGTTAGAGCTTGCAATTGCAAGCAAAGGAAATCATACTAGCAGAAGGAAAAATAAAATGTTAAGCATAAATGTCTTTAGGTGATAGGGCTACAGGTAACTTTAACTTTTATTCATGTTTCTGAATTTTCTAATTGTTCAATAATGTGTGTGCATTACTGTTATAATTGAAAACCTTGACAAACTTCTGTTTAAAAAAGTAAAAACAAAAGGAAAAAGTATATATACACATATCACTGCCTTCGTTTAACAGATGAGAAAATGTGGGTTCTGGAAGGGTAATTGGCTCACCCAACGTGCATAGCTAATTAGTCCGAGAGACAAAACTAGAGACAGACATTTTGATCTTTCGATTCTTATTCCAGGTATTTTTCCACTATGATTTTCTATCTTCAAAAGTGGTTCTAAAAATAAACATCAGAGAAGTGGGTTATAATTATGTTTATGTCAAATAAGTAACTCTAAGGAAAGAGTTTTTGTTCATCTCCTGAGCTATGTATGTTAAAATCCACTCCAATTACGGAACAGGCAGTGGTTATAATTAACACCTAGAAAAGTATAAACGCATCTGGAAACGGGGCTAATGATGTAGCAGCTGGAGTTTGCTGAAGACATTAGTGAAAGTTCAAGTTGAAGCGATTGGAATTTATTTTTGAGTAGTGTCAATGCGAGTCTAACCAAACTACATACTTGGCGTGTGGTTGGTCAGTTTATTTTGGGAGTGGGGGAAAGGTGGGTAGGGCTGGTTTATTTGGACTGTAGGCAGGTGGGTAGGGCTGGCAGAAAAATAGTTTGTTTTCATAGGAACGTTTCTGACAAAGATCTCTTCCCAAATATCACAGGTTGCTTTTTCATCTAATGCCTAAGAAATACTTACTAAATGACTGCTATATGTCAATTACTGTACACAGTTCTGGATATATTTCTTCAACATACATAGTGTCACTTTTAAGGATACTAGAGTTTCCACCGCTTTGCTCTGACCTCCAAAAACTTAGAAGTTCTGTAGCAGCTGCTCTTTATGGTCCACTGAAAACTACTGTAAATAATAAAATAATAAAATTCATGTGGATTATGTGATCATCATGACGTTTAAAGAAGAAATTTCTAAAGATAAACGTGTGTTCCTTTTCTGTCATCTCATCTCTGAAAATCTTTACCTGCATCCTAGTTCATCAATAAATCGTTAAAATTCTGTTTAACCTGGCATCTCAGATTTTAATTCTGATGAGACTAGGTTTTGTTTTTCTTCCCGTGTTAAAGAGCATTCAGTTCTTAAATGAGGTTTTTCTTACAGGTAAAGGGTGTAGCTATTTCTTTGCACATCCAGCAGAGGGCATGAAAGCCTATTTATGATTCTAGCCCATTAGCTTGGTTTGATTTAATGGCTAAATGAGAGCACGAAGCTGGGTTACTATTGATAACAGATTTGTGACAGACCCTAGTAGAGTAGAATAATAATGAGGTTCAGATCTGCAAAGAGGAATCCAGTAGTTTAGCTCCTATGGCTCCCAATGAGGCCGAGCATCAAGTGAGATGCCTGCCATCAAAGAGTCTAGAAAATTTGAAATATATTTCTGCTTCTGAGGATGAGCCCTGTGAGCATGAGCTGCCTGCAAAGGCGGGGTAATTTGTGTATACAGCGCTCATGCGGTGTGTAACATCTACAGCAATGACCCTACAGGGCTAGCCTATTTCTTTTTCACCTGACCACAAATTCCCCTTTAATTTTCAGTTTTGTAGTTCCAGAATTTGTTTCATTTGTTTTAGGAGCACAATTTTTATAAAAGACAACTTTAAAATTCAATATCTTTCACGGAAATGAAATAGAGCTGAGATAGGACTGAATAGCATTCATGTGGATGATGAAATGAAACTCAACCAGAATATTATATTTAAGGCAAAATGTGAAATATTTCAGGTTTATATAAAAGAAAATGAGACAATGAAAATGCGTTGGCTCTGAGACCCCGCTTTCAAGAGAGAGTGATTTTTTAAAAATCAGAGCAAAGAAAGGAAATAGAATACACATTCCAAAGGAATCTTTTACTTTTAAATTCATTTTGCTTTGTGATTTTGTACAAAATAACTTTATACAGGCTTTCTTTTTTTCCTATTTATTACTAGGTCCTGGAAAATAGTAGAATTTTTTGTTATTTTACTAAATGTAGTTCTGGGAAAATGAAATAATAGTAATATCCCTTTATAAAATGGAATAGCTTGGTGATGAACAAAATTTAATTTTTATTTGTGCATTTGGAAAATAGTTATCTTTTTATTCCAAAATTATGCCAGTCTACACCTACTATCTGACTCATGAAGCAAGTAGTGTATATCAATCAAGATTTCAGATTTTTATATTAATAAGATGAAAAGTGGTATTGCTCAGAAGCACTGAAATTATTAATGAATGTAGCTATCTTAGTTTTATTATCATATTTATTGAGAGAGGGTTTCCTCTTTGGAAAATCTATTTATGGGATGTAATAAGTAAAACAAGGAGAATTTCCCTTTGTCTAGTAATTAATATAATTATATATTTCTTTATATTTAATAATCATTTTATATTTTTTCATCAGACATGAAAACTGAAGTCATGTAGCAATTCAGATTATTCTCTCTTTTATGTATCTAAATATGGGTAGATTTTTAATGTTAGAGTCTTAGGTACAACCGACTAATTTCTTCCTAGATTTAGAAGAACTGGAGCTGTCATTGTTTTCTTGAAGAATATTGAGAGACACAAAACAAGAAAGCCCAGGGACTTAGTTTAAATAATCAGTGGATGATTGCATGCTTCCTTGATATCATGTGGAATGCTTGTCACCTGTGACATGACTGACAAAATAGATCAACGCTACATGCAGAGAGTTGGACGAGGATGGACTCCAGTTGGAAGGGATGGGATGCCAGTCTCTTAAGGATGCCCAAACATTACTGGGATGATAAGGAGATGTAAGGACTATTTTTTAAAGGAGAATGTGAAGTTGAAAGGAATCCTTTGAGAAAATGCTAAATGTAAAAGGGGCAGCCACCCCAAGGGACACACTCAAGTAACAATAGATGGTCCCTAAAAAGAATGAGTGTGTGTAACTGCAGGTTTTGTTCTTTGTTTGAGGCACACATATTTGGGGTCAGAACGAGACTGTGTAAGGCTTTAGAAAAGAGTTAGTTTCTTTATAAATATATTTTTAACTATAATTTTATTAGCATAAGGAGAGTATTCCATTGAAAAGGCAACCAGAATTGGCATATGCTCAGAACAGCCATTACTGGGACAGTAGCCCCATGTGATTAAGCCTCCCTTGCATTTTTAGTTCCCTGATTTTTATTCTCCACAAATGCATTTTTTTTCCCCTTAGTTTCCCTCATCTTTGTCTGATTTTGACAAGGTTTGTTGACTGCTTCATTTTCTACTGTATTAGCCAAATTAGGTTATTTTGTTTTTATTTACTAAACTTGAAGCTTTCCCTTCTTCAATAAAAGAGTCCCCCTCTGATTTCCTCCTCTAGTCAATACTACCCTTCAGCAGCTTCAGAAAACAAAGGCGTTGTATAATGTTTGTTTTAATTGAGGGAATGGAAACTACAGTTTCCAAGTAAAGTGCCTCTCCACTCCTTCCCCCGATTCTCTGGGCTACATAGGCTTAGCTTTGCGTGCAAAAACTTCATTTAGAAAATGGCAAAAATGCTTTATGATTTCTCCCCAGTTTTCTAGCTTTATCCAACCCCTTCTCCAGCAAACTCAGGCAGACAGTTAAAGGGTCAGGTCTGCTTGGCTTCATCTCCCTTTATCTGTACGAAGGCTGTATCACAAAAGCATCTCTTTCTTTCTTTTAAACTCCCATTTTCCTTTTCAATCCCAGTTTTTCTTTTTTTCCCCCTAAGTATTATCAACAAACCTTTACACTTTCAGTTTTTTGGAAGGAGTTGAGGTTTTGCAAAGGAAACCTTACAGTACTTTTTATTTTTCAAAAGTCTCCAACTCTGATTCAAATAGAGTGTATAGGAATTAAAATTACAATATTTTACTTAGGAGTCATATTGACTGCAAAGTGTGGACAACTTCGGATCTTAAATTTTGGATCCAATTGAAAAGGACATTTTTCAGACAATTGAAACAACATAGACATCAGGAAAATTGATGGTAAGGAATTGTTAATTATTAATGATAACGATATCGTGGTTATATTGTTAAAAAGTCCTTATCTGTTAGACATATATAGTGAAGTATTTATGAGTGAAATGACATGATTTTTGAGATCTGTTTTAAATAACCAAATAAACAAACAAATATTCTTATTTTTTGGCTCCGGAGAAAACCTATATGTTGAATTTGAGTATACATCCATTTTTTATTTGCCTACTCCAATCCTAGCTGTGGCTCTGCTTTGCATGAACAATGAAATTTAATAAACTATTTTACCTTTTGCTTAGAGTATATTTTGTTTTAAGAATACTACAATGATTAACCCATTGGTACCATAGTTCAGTCACTCAAATATGGACTTTCTCATTTTTGAATACCTAAAAAGCATTTTTATGTATTTTTATTTAGCGTATTTTTAAATCAACTCAGTTTCAAACTTAAATGTATTTTAAATTGAAACTTTACATTGTATCATAAGTGGAAAACTGGTTCTTTCTCAAATTCACATAAAAATAAATAGATGGTTATAAAATAAAAATCCAATGTACCACCTAAAAATATTTCAAATACTGTTGGTAGTAAGTATAATACACTTTGAGAAGCTCA